GGAGGCAGTATGACCTCTGAAACGTTGGTTAACATCGACCAGACTACACAGCGCAACAACCCAGAAGACGGATATCTTCATACTCACCGCTGTGAGAACCTCAAGTCTTACGAGTGTTTATTTGTATTTTAGCCATTGTGTACTTATCAAGACGTAATATTAGGGTGCAGCATGAAGAAGGTTGATTTTAATTATGGGGACACAGTTCCACACTTTTTATATGTGTATTGAGTAACGAGATGCAAAATAAAATTTGTGTGTTCTCTCATCTCTGCAGGAGGTGGAATCTAGCATGATGCGCCGAAGCGTGAAAAGTGTGTGCAGATTCTTGATAATCGCCTGTCTGACTGTGGCCACCACGGTAGTGATCTTTCGATATGTCCGCAGCATTGAGATGACAGGTTTCGGCCAAGAACTCGCAGAAGCACGGGGAGCTGTACCAGTCGCACCTCAACACCACCTTAACGAACCTGAACCAGCAAATGTAAGTTGGCTTCGGAACAGAAGGAACATTTCTGTCACTGTCAAATTTGTGTTGTGTGTGAAAAATGTATTTTGTGTCTGTGACCTTAAGCTGAATTGGACTCGTTTAATTTTGCCGTGTCCTCACTGAGTGGACTCGTCGTGTGATTTGTATCATAGTCGAGTGTTTTGCAACCACTGTGCCGCCACAAGGTTTCTGGTGTGCTGCGAATTTTGGTACGAAATTACAGATTTGCACCTGTGGCTTCGGGCCGAGTCTCTGAAGTTGCTTCTGGATTTCATTTGGGTTTGGGAATTACACTTTCATAATTTTCCACCTCCATTTTCTGCTCAGAAATTGTTCCGCCCACTTCCTAATTTTCAAAAAATTTTAATAATATATTTAGGCCCAAGAAGATCGTCCTTGTTTCTACACACAGGTCACCTGCCTGACTCTCGTCCTTTCCCGATCCTCTCAGTTTCGAAGTACCAGTCTTAGACTGTGCTAACCCAATTCTCTTATTTTTTTGTATCGCTCTTCAGTTTCGTATCACAGTAAAATATTTATGACCTTTATTCTTTTGTATTTGCCATTAAATTGTCTTGTTCTTTATCATTGCATCCATCTTTAATTTCCTTTACAAGAAATTAAATGTAATGCAATATCTTACGATGGAATCTACTTGTTCTAATACAGATTGTACACAATGGCACAGAGAACAATTCTAAGTATCTAAGTGTGGAATTTAAATTTCTGCTGCCATGTATCATGCTAGAAATTTTTGAAAGATATTATGTAATTTCAATTATTTGTTTTAATCCGTCATATCACAATATTTAAAATTTCTTATAATTAAGATAATAAAATATCATTCATGTTCCATATCGATTGATCGATTTACATTTCGGAACATTTACACAACATGTTTCGGTTTTATAAAACCATCATCAGGTGTAAAATATATCTAAGAACTTAAAACTCAATTATCAACAAAAAAAACTACAGAAATCATAATTGAGTTTTAAGTTCTTAGATATATTTTACACCTGATGATGGTTTTATAAAACCGAAACATGTTGTGTAAATGTTCCGAAATGTAAATCGATCAATCGATACGGAACATGAATGATATTTTATTATCTTAATTATAAGAAATTTTTTAAATAAAAATTATATTGTGATCAAACAGATTAAAACAAATAATTGATATAATATTCACAATATGATGCAATTACACTATCTTATGATATTATGTAAATTAGAGAAATTAAAATTCATGAACTTTTTATGTAGAATGATTTGGTCGGTACCAGCAACACACAGACGAAAGAATTCAGACGCTATCTTCTGGGTAGTTCCACCACTCAGTCTGGTAGAAGTTTACTGCCGTCAAAACCTCAAATCCCACTTAAAATAATTTAGGTCTCTAACATCACGCTTCAGAGAGAAGTGGCATTTGTAACGTCGTAAAGCGCTATACGTTGAAACAGCGAGAAATTGCCTTTTGAAGTTTCCGCAGTATTACCACTCTATTTCCATCATGAGATGCCAGAAACACCCTCCTACACAGCTGGAGGCGCGCCATAATCTAAAACTTCCTTTTCCTTCCTTGCCCGAATTTATAACTTGTGTTGGGCAAGGCCGTGGTCTAGGCAACACGGAGTTTTCCTCCGTGGCATCCCAACAATTACTCCATTCACACACAGAAGAAGGCAATGGCAAACCACTTCTGGATCATCTGCCAAGAACGTATATGAACAGGTCCCAGTCCGAGAAAAGGATGGAAGGATCCTGTTCATATGGACCTGTCGCCAGACAGAACACTAAATAATAATAATAATATTGTACTCACAGTCAGATATTTGACACTGTCAACTACAATTGTGATAATTACACTACCTTGAAAAGTACAAAAATGTTTCTATATGAAACTAAAATAGACTTCAGTCCTTCACTTGCAGTTTGATTCTTTGCGCACGATGGTATATGTTTTTTTTAACCGTATTGTATAATGCGTAGTGATGTCGACTAAATTTCCTTTGCGCACGATGGTATATGTTTTTTTAACTGTATTGTATAATGCGTGGTGATGTCAACTAAATTTTTTACAGAAAGCTTCTGTGGTGGCTGATCGTGTAAAAATAGACTGGCACGACTATAAGCTGATTGAAGCAGAAACGAAGCAGAAGGGTATTGGTGAGCAAGGGAAGCCCGCCTTCCTGTCTGTTGAAGACAATGATAAGAAAGAGCAGTTGTACAAAGTAAACGGTTTCAATGGCCTTCTCAGCGATAGGATAGCGTTGAACCGATCCTTGCCAGACATCAGGCACAAGGGGTAAGTGGAATAGAATTGTTGGAGGAGAGGTACATAATTTGAACTTGTCACCAGGTAACCAGACACTGTCGGACTGACAGATCAAGGCGGATGAGATGGGCGGGTGGGACGTGTAGAACACACGGGAGTGATGACAAAGGTTGGTTGGTAAACCTGAAGGGAGGGGTCCACTTGGAAGGCCTAAGCATAGATTGAAGGATAATATTAGAATGGATCGTAGATAATGTGGGATGGTCTGCATAAGACTTAATTGGCTCAGCGTAGGTATCAGTGGTGGGTTCTTGTGAACGCGATAGTAAACATTCAGATCGCGTGAAAGGAGGAAATTTCGTCGCCGGCTGCGGAACTGTTATCATCTTCAGAAAGACTGCTGCGTGAAGTTACTTAAAGTGAAACTGTAATGTAGGAGGTTTAGTTCGTTGAATGCTGTAGGTCTCGGACAAAGAAGCGCGTCGCGACCCTCCCAACAGCAGCCCCAAGTGACGTCAAGCACCTCGTACAAACTAAAATTTGCGTTACTCTCTGGCCGAAGGTGGAAAGATGGAGCAGGTTATGGAATGCTCTCTTGGCATATGGGACCATTGCTAATGCCTTGTAGCTTTGACGTTAAGTGCGGGACTCATGAATACTTGTAGGTGTTCACAGAGTCTCCCATTACAACAAAAATATTATCATGCCACGTGAGACTGTGGAAAACAGCGTCAGCTGGTACGTGTCTGCCAACAGTAGTGGTAGTACCTAATTTTGCCAGTGGGTGGCTCTGCTGTGGGTATGTGTTAATTATGGGTAAGGCTGATGGAGGTGATAAAATTAGTGTGAATATCAGCAGTGGTCTTAAAGTATAAAAGGTGATAATTATCAGTCATATATAACTTAAAAAGCCTTTACATATTTTGGTTACTTTATAGCTATCTTTTGGTGGTACACGGATACAGAATAAAATTGACGTGAATGAACAAGAAAAGTATTAAAATATTCTAAGGTAAAAGCTTTTAATGATTGCAGCTGGGAGGATCCAGTTAGGTATAGTCTACACTGTTAACACCTTGATCTGTCGTAGAACTTGTTTTAAGTGTTGGTGTGTTTAAGTTGCAGTTATTGGACATGGCCAGAATGGTGTAGGTTTATGGACCTGCGAGAGTAAGGTCTGTTGTTTGTATAAAGTAAGATAAAGTAGGTCTAATAATGGGAGAGAGGATAGAAGGTGAGAGAAGTGAAGGGTCGGAGCCCCCTGGCAGGTGTGGCAAATAAGGGAAGGGTCTCCAGTAAGTAAACACTGTATAATGTGTCATTCCACATTTTCAAATCTAAAACTTCTTGACGATGGTGAAGAGTCAATTGAATAAAAATTTTCTTGGATATTATCCATCGTCTAGTAAATATAAAACGTAAAACGACGTTTCGGAGATGGGATTAGCTCTATCTAGTGGGCCCAACTGTGTAGGAACCTGAAGACGGAGATAGAGGCCCATCTCCGAAACGTCGTTTTTTACGTTTTATATTTACTAGGCGATGGATAATATCCAAGAAAATTTTTATTCAATTCATCCCACATTTTGTTGATCACATATTTCTGTGACTGTACGTTCGCGTGAGTAGTCTGTGAAGCCAATGCAGAAGATTCACTTTTATTGTTGGGAATTATTGTATTTCATCGTTCAGTGGGCGTGGAAAATGTGTCGGTGCTCTGCATTTGTTGGTCAGCCTGACAGATGTCACAGCATTTTGAGATTGCACACTTCTTTCTTTTTTGCAGATGTAAGGAAAGGAAATATCTGCCAAATCTTCCAACAGTGAGCGTGATTGTACCATTCCATAATGAACACTGGAGTACTTTGCTAAGAACAGTGGTGAGCGTCATCGGTCGGTCTCCGTCGCATCTTCTGAAAGAAGTCATATTGGTCGATGACTTCAGTTCTAAAGGTAAACTTGTATCGACTTCATGTGAAATTGTAGGAACCCTTAAAGTAACTAAAGCAATAGTTATTTCATGTAACTGAAAATCTAAATTAGGTCACATTTTATTTTGAGTATGTAGTAGACTTGAAGATGGTGTCTTTGTCATCTCTAAAACATTGATGAGTATCTACCAGACTTCACAGCGCTAAATCCCAGATGACAGCCATCTTCTAACTCATTAGTGTCATATATACAGAGTTGTCTAAATGATGTTCCCGATTTGAAACACGTTACTCACGTTTAATGAAATTCAGATGCATAAAATTGGTACCGATGGAAAGAGAAACTCTCCAAGTTTATGTCGGTATACTTCGCGGCTGCGTAGTAACACTGTTCGCCGCCAGGGGCGATATGAGAGAAAATGGCTGCCATCGAAGACAGGGGAGCCTTTTGTGTCCTGGATTTCCACGTTCACCGGACCTGACGCCCGGTTTTTTTTTTTTTCTGTGGGGGTTCGTCAAAGATAGAGTATTCGTGCCACCCTTACCACGGACCTTGCTTGATCTGCGAGCCCGTATCACAGCAGCCATTGCAGCAATTGATCATGATATGCTGCAACGTGTCCGGGAGGCTGGATGTGTGCCGAGTTACCAAGGGGGCTCACATTGAACACCTGTGATGTACTGAAACAAACCTTGGAGAGTTTCTCTTTCCATCTGTACCAATTTTGTGCATCTGAATTTCGTTAAACGCGAGTAGCATGTCTTTCAAATCGGGAACATTATTTAGACTTGCAATGTATTTATTATTCATGTTACTGTATCAACCCTTTATCCAGAAAAAGCGTGGGACATAATGCTTTTAAAATTTTCTGGATTTTGGAGCTTTATACAGAGGCTTTAGTACATAAAAGTTAATAAAGATTACATGTTGAGTTATACTTTCTCTACAGTTAACAATTTATTTTTAATGAGAAATGGAGAAACCTCTAAAATGTAGGGGGTGTCATTATCATCTAAAAACCATGCAGAGGCCCACAACGTACGCCATTCACTGCCTAAACAAGAAAGTTGCCCTTTACTAAAATGAGTGACGTGAACAACGACATACAAATTTTGGATGCGTGTGCACATCTTTTGTCACATGACCTCATTAGTGAATCGGCTTCAGAGAGCTGTCGACTTCAAGCATAAAGCAGATGACATTTTGAAAAATGCTTTTTGTGGAACATGAAGGTTCATTACAGAATTCACAAGAGCCCAATGAAAGTTGGAAATGTTTAACATCATGTGACCTCCACAGTTCGCAGAGAATCTTCAATTAAACCAAACAGGAAACATTTGGATGTTACATTTTTAAGGGTTGCTGTCCCAACTAAAATTATTTGTTATGTACAGTGCACTGCAAGAAACCGCTGGATGATTACGTGGCAAAACATCTACCTAAGGTGCAAGTAATACACTTGCCAGAGAGGTCAGGACTGATCAGAGCTCGTCTAGCCGGGGCAGCGAGAGCCACAGCTCAAGTACTGATATTTCTAGACTCTCACACCGAGGCCAGTGTCAACTGGCTTCCGCCTTTACTTGGTGAGGTTACATAACACGGTTTTATGTTGTAGAAAATGTAGTTGGGTTTCAAGTATAATTTATGACTTTTAAGTTGTTTGTATGGCTTAAGATTGCATGTAGTTCATCGGTTTACTTTAAAAGCCCTTTTTGTCTGCATCACTAGATTTTTCAGGAGACACCAGCCGCGTAAGCCATGTGTAACGCTTGCACACAGAGTTTTTGAAATGGTTGCTAATGGCGCCACTTTTAATAATAGAGTTACGCAGTATTGAAATGTAGATACAGGCCTGTTTTGGTGAGGAAACATAAGAATTCTTTAACAAAATTTATCCATCTTCATCTGACTGTTCTTGAGTTGAATCACGTGGACAGACGAACATGACCAGCGCTACACACATTCATTTCATGCTTATCACACGATGAATGCGTAAAATATATGACGCTGAAGTGTGTGCACGGTCTGAGGTATGTTTGTTGTGCGTAGAATTTTGAGGGCTGGCTCTACTTTCATCTTCACATTGGTTGTCATTGTAGTGACAGATTATTATTAGTTTTTTATTTTAAAATTATTGGTGTAGAATGGAATCAAACCGTGGACCTACTGATTCTACACTGATATGCTAAGCACTGGACAGAATCGTACACTGTCACAATCAGTTGCGTTTGTGTGACGTGGAGCGTAAAGTGTCGTTGAAAACACAGACGCACTCCTACAAAGCACAGTGCACTGGAGCAAGCCGGCAAATACTGCCGACAATCCTCCCGTTCATAGGGTAAGCCCATCAGTTGCCACTGTGTAGGGCAAGCTTGTCAAACTCGCGGCCCACAACGAATATTTTTGCGGCCCAGCCAATATAACTGTATGTAAGAAACGTTTTAATAAAAATTTCGTAACTTCATTTGAAGGCAAAATTCAGTGAAATTGGCGTGCCTGGATTTTACAAATATTTACCTGCCAGGTTTGAAAATACTCGAAAATTCGCATATGAAATTATTTCCATGTTTGGAAGTACTTATCGGTGTGAGCAGTTATTTACAATTATGAAAGGAAATAAGTCTCCTGTCAGATCCAGAATTACTGACATTCACCTTGGATCAGTTTTGAAAATAATCGCTGCGAACAAGATTTCCCCCGAAGTAGGAAAGATAGTAGCAGAGAAGAGATTCCAAGTGTCAGGAAGAAAACATTAATGTTATCCTTGTTCTTTTTTTTATACTATATTTTTCGAAATAAACCTACGTTTCTACGAAAATTGAAGTTTTTGTTTTTTTTGCGTCCCACATAAACTTAAACCTTGTTTATTCGGCCCGTGTTAGCCTTTGAGTTTGACATGCTCTTGGTGTAGGGGATATTTCAGTGAGAAAAGGAAATGGGAGGTTGAAAGTGGGGAACAGTTCAGGGGCATTAGTTATTTTTAAAAAGGGAGCATCAAGTGACCAAGTTTCTAAGTAATAAGCAAAAGTAATTGGTTCAGTGTACACAAGAAGTGGTATGTATTTTTCACCAGAAAATGATATCGTAGTAAAGATGTACTCGGTATAGGATTATATAGGATGGTTCTATTACAAGCGTTGTTAAGTACAGATTCTAACACACAATCTGGAAACAGGCATAAAACAATTAAATTTCCTGTTGCCCCTACGTGAACAAAGATTGGCGTTGTAGTGAGTTAGACTGCAGGCATACAAACTGTGCCCTAATTGCTTTACCTTTAACGTACCTGTGGGACGACGTTTGTCCCTCCACGATCGTTTCTGTTTCTAGGTATGTTTTCGTTTAGAGTATGTAGCTGGTTATTTTGCAATGAGATGGATCTAGTTGTCATGGAACTTGGTACCCCTTCATGCGCATGTTATATGGCTCAGTTTCGGAGACAGATGTTTTGTGCACAAGCACTTTAACTGTTCAGATACATTAGTAGTCATTTTTATGCGCACATTGCAGTGACAGTCTCGTGATACTTGAATCTTATCTGTTCAGAGCCGATCGCCGAGGACTATCGTACGTGCGTGTGCCCGTTCATAGATGTCATCGCTCATGACACGTTTGAATACCGCGCCCAAGATGAAGGCGCACGAGGCGCGTTTGACTGGGAATTCTTCTACAAGCGTTTGCCTCTGTTACCTGAAGATTTGAAGCACCCGACAGAACCCTTCAGGTGAGTTTTGTGTGTATGATGTTCCATTGATTTCAGTGTGACCATAAGAAAAGTTTCAAGCACCGTACAATGTCAGTATTGGATAGGCTTGCAAATGTTGTTGGTGTTAACATTTTAAAAGTGTACGCCGTTGTTCATATAGTGAAGTAGACCGTCAATAAACGTGGCTGTCTTCTGGGTTTTTGCTCCGTGTAGTCTGGTCAGAGCAATGATGCTGGACGCATCTCTGAAATGTTGGTAAACTAATACCAGACGACCGCCGTCTTCATGCTCGCTGCCACGAGTACCTGAAATGTAGGACAGTCCATACTTTTTTGTATTTGAGTCTACAGTTTTGTTGAGCCTTTACTTTTGACATTCGGCACACGCTGCATCTTGTATCCTTTTCCAGAAGTAAATTTCCATTACATTTTGTTTTCGTTTCATTCCATACTTTTTATTTTTCCCCCATTCTCGCACTGAGATCTGTTTAAATAGTCTCATTTTTAGTAAAAGAGCTTCGGTGCTTATGTTATTAGAAATGTAGGAACTGGAAGTTTCTCAGGCTGCAACATCACTTTGACAAAACTACTTGTAGGACAGAAAACATCATCATTTCAAGTTTGATAGTCATGACAAATTGTCATCAGTTCTGTTTTTAATCCTGTAGAAAGGTTTCATGTATATGAATGGAATTAGTATGACTGATAATCATTTAAATGATATTAACATGACCTGAGAAAACCCAAGAAGGCTCGTACAAGTGTTTTGGGGGAGTTTTAAGTTTTACAGTAGTAAAACATTTTTAAAAGAATAAAAGTAACCTTAATGAAGATTTGAGGTTCTCTCACCAGTGTAATGTTGGTCTTTGGTTGTACTGCCACCTGGATTTGAGGAACCTGCTGCCTACATCGTAATTGCTATTGGGGGGCAGTTTCGTTTCTCCGAAATGCTGATGTCTGTTTACAATTCTGCAGGACTACCAGAAGACCAACGCTGACGACTGTAATGAAACTCATTATATCTGCAGTTCAGAAGAATTTGTTTTGTACGTAGAAGCAGGTTAAGTTTTACTCTGTTTTATTCTATATTTCAAGCGCTAACGTACGACAAATTTCTTCGTTCTTTTACAGGAGTCCCGTGATGGCCGGAGGACTGTTTGCGATCGGCGCGAAGTTCTTCTGGGAACTCGGAGGTTACGACGAAGGGCTTGAGATATGGGGAGGGGAGCAATACGAACTTTCATTCAAGGTGTGGCTTTCTCCTTTCTGTACTCTTGACTTATGTTGTCTGCATTTCTCTTTGGATTGTGTTGCTGTCATGTGTGGAATCGACGGACAGCCAGTCTCCTGCAGGAGTTCAGCTGGGAGGGGTTTAATCATTCACCCTCCAGCCCGGACCTCGCTCCCAGTGATTTCCATCTTTTCCTACACCTCAAGAAATTCCTGTCCGGTCAGCGTCAGCGTTTTGAGAATGACAGAGAGGCGGAGATGGTTGTCACACAGTGGTTCCAATCCCAGGCGGCAGACTTCTACGACACAGGTATTCAAAAGTTGGTCCCACGGTACGACAAATGTCTCAATTCCGGTGGCGAATATGTTGAAAAATAGCTGGACACTTGCTGTATCTGTTGCACTAAATATTTCCATGAAATTGTGTTTTGTTTCTGTAAACGGCCCCAGGGAAACTTACTTTGTGGACGAGCCTCGTATTTGCCGCCAAACAGCCACCCATATCATCCTACATTTATTTGTGTCTGTAATTTTTCTGTTAGATGACACTGGAATTTAATTACGTCTTTAGAGACGTAAAGGAATAGTTCTTCTGTCTGTCTGTTAAGACCGTGAAACTTTATTTTGAAAAGAAAACATCGCATGACTCATGTTTGCTATTTTGATCAGTGTTGTTGGTAATTTTGCCATATTTGTTCCTTTATTTAACGTAGTTCATTTGATGGTGCAGTCAACAGATCATACTCCATAGCATTAATTATGTTGATTAATGAATAGTGAATTGGAAGGGATACAGAAGGAAGCAGTTGTGGCATACGTTAAGATATTGTCCCAAAATTATCCAGGAGGGAAACCTCAGCCAGGATAGCCTGTCTGCTCACAGCTTCCCATGTACAAAACAAGAGGCGAGCCAGTCTGTCGTTGCATTCAGTCGTTTTGATGCAAGAAAGTAAGATTTTAAACAGAATTTATCTGCATGATGTCGAAAGGAAAACAGTTTTATTTTGGTGTGTAACATCATCTGAATTATTGAACTGATTTGCATGTATGGTAAATATCTTTTGATATGCTCACAGCAGTGATTACCGTATTTATGCAACTACGACGTGCCTGGAAATGAGGTTCGTGTTGATGTAACATTTTGAAGGTCTTACACAGTAATAATTTAATTTTTTAAAAAAAAATCCTGAAACTGACGTTGGCTAATATTGAAACCCTTGGATTAAAAAATTCTTTCAGATTTTCAGTTGGTAAATTTTGCTTAATTCTGTGTAACCAACCTGCCGCCTGTAATTTACATATAAAGAAAGCTCTTGTGCGACCTCTGGAAACTTTACATTTTGCTCACTGACTACTAGTAATTAATTTTTTCTCCAGCCTCAAGTGCAACTTTTACTCACTTCAAAAAATGTAACGGCTGTCGCATTGTTCTCTGCTTTGCTCCTCTTAAAACCTTAAGTTTTTCACAGACTGTAAATGATTGTAATTGGCTTCAATCTTTTTCAAAAGCTGTATTTATCCATGTAATTTATCTCAGTATCTTAAAGAATTGGGAGCGAGATTGATTAGTGGGACGCGCTGTGCTTAATACCAATGTCCAGAACAAAAGATGCGTGGTTTTGATAAGCGGGGTCAGCTGTTTTACAGATGTACCTAGGAAAGAGAGAAAGTACCAATTGTGTGCTGTTTGCGAGGTCAGGAAGTACGTTTCTTCCCTGTACACAGCTTGGGTTCCGTATGTGTTGGTGGGGACAGTTTCAGGTCCTTGCAGGGGAAGGGTTTTTCCGCTCGCTGTCACAAACTGGCCCTGTGGCTGTGTCGCCACTGTCTTGAGCTTTATGATGTGTGCGAGTAGTGACTGATATGTCATTTTTAAGTGAAATGTCTTGTTTTGTGGTCTTGTACTATATGTCTGTAATGTTGCTCATTATTTGCGTGGTCTGTTTGTTCCAGATTTGGATGTGTGGCGGACAAATGGTAGACGCTCCGTGCTCTCGTGTGGGACACATTTACAGGAAGTTTGCCCCATTTCCAAATCCTCAGAAAGGAGATTTTGTTGGAAGGGTGAGGTGTCCCCCCTCCATTACTTATGGACTTTGACATTTCTCGTGGTTGGTAACAAACTGAGGCGTGAGAATTGCTAATGAAAAGTAGGAAGATGTTCTGGATTCAGCTTTTATTTGTGCCCAAATTAGGCAGATGGAAGAAGTATTTTTTCTGTGCCCAAACAGTCGATTGCTTTATTTGGTTTCTGGAAATTCTGGAGCCGGTGTCCAGAACAGAATTGATTTATGGTGAATGAAAGTAGGAATGAAGGACACTGACTTGTGTCTTATATTAATGTCTTAATTTTCAATACAGTGGGCACGGAAGCTTTCGAAGTGCAACGGCGTTAGTATCATTCCGGATAGAATTCCAGAAATTTGCACTGCGTAACATTTCCTGAAAATATGAGATGTTACTGAAGCAACTTTATCCAAAGTAGGAATTGACAGTATGATGGCTTGAATAATTCTTGTGGCTATGGTTTAATGTGTAACTTCGGCTTCTCGGGATAGCCACGCAAAATGTCGAGGTTCCTTCAGTGGTTTTAGCAATCATTGTAAATGCCGTCTTGTGGATGAATGTCTTTTGTAGGGGGTTAGGAAACCATTCAGTTCCTTTGTCTTCACAGAAGTTGCATGTATTCTCTATAAATTGTCATCTCCTCTCCAGTATGCTGCGTTACTTAAAATTCTTACATCTTAATGAATGTATTGATTGGACTGAGCTTTCTACTGGACTGAAATGCGTGAATGAAGGCAGGCAAGCAAAATGCGTCACACAGACAGAGAGTGGCGGCTTGTGGCCCTGATTGACCGGCGAGCACGTGACTACATCATTGCGCTTTTGCTGCAGACTTTATTGAGCGTTTGTCCTCTTCATTTAAAATGCTTGTCTCTGCTAGATGTTGTATATCCTCTTACTTCTTTTAAGTTAAATTATACAGACTACAGAGTGTCATCATATCAGAATTGTGATTCATGTTTCTAATTTGTGCGTTACCCGCATTAGAGCCGCCGGTGCCATGACGCCTTTTCTTCGTAGCTCCTCTTCTCTTCGTCTAAGAGGAGATTGGTTCGTGACCTGCGCATTTCACCTCCATGCTTAAATTATGTGATCTTCATGTATTTGTATTTTTCATTGTTCATTAGAACTACCGTCGGGTGGCAGAGGTGTGGATGGACGAATATAAGGAATACTTATATAAGAGAAGACCACATTATCGCAACATTGATACTGGTGACATCAGCAAACAGAAGGAACTTCGAGAGAAGCTTCGCTGCAAATCTTTCAGGTGGTTTATGGAAAATGTGGCTTTTGACTTACCGAAGAAATATCCACCCATAGAGCCACCAGACTTTGCTCAAGGAGAGGTGTGTAACAGCGTTCAATTGCCGCGCTTCAGTGTAGGATTTGAGGTTTTCATGGCAGTAAGTCTGGAGATGGCCGTCTTCTGGGTCGTTGCGCCGACTACGCCAGATGACGGCCATCTACTGTGATTCTGTACAAACATGTTCTGTCTTGTTTGAGGGCTTCTCTTAATACAATAACAGTCGCACGTGGCACAAATGCTGTATCATCGATGTGGATTCTGTGTTGGGGTAGTCTTTTGTTTGGTTTGTGTTCTGCTGTACCCTGAAAGATGCCAGTTCTTAAACACAGAGCTCGAGATGAATGCATGCAGCCTGGCTGTTTCTGTCTCGATGTTTCATCTCCAAAATGACTGAGAAATTTGTTATGGGGGTCTGAGGTGCACCTCCGAGTTAAGTCAAATCTCACACTGTACAAGAAATTGATAAGTGATAAAATATAGATCTACTTTTGCTATTGTTAAGTTTTTTATGGCCAATCATTTTAACAAAATATGTGTACAAATAATTTCTGGCCATGTGCAGTGCGATTTATATGGTAATATTTGCAAAGTTTGGGTTTTGAAAATGTATGGTTATGGTAGCAGAGTGTCTGATGTGAAAATTGTTGGTTGTGTAAGAGGGGGGAAGTAGAATTTCAGATATTTGTGATTACCGAGCCGTGAATCACAAACCATAATAGTGGATAAGGTACACTCATGATAACTGTGCAGATTTTCTGACGAGCACTTAACACTCGTAGAATTGCACTTTTT